AGCCTTGAAAGTGGTCCTAGGTGTTCAGGTAGGTTTTTTTCTTTCTCGTGGGGTTCTTTAAGCGAGGAGCTTAAAGTTATACTGTAACGGGGGTGCCTTGAAAGGGCGCGACCGTGACTTCGATCAGGTAGATAGGCAGAAAGGAATTCGACAAGCTATCCTTTCGGCTCGTTCGATGGAAAGATAGAGTTTCATTTGTTTGATCGTTATTTGTAGTCTAGAAACTTAATAACTTTAAGGGGGCTCCTCGCTGGTAAAGACTCGCTGATCCCCCCGAAACCAAGCTGGGGCAACCGAGTTCCTTTATGGAAGTTCGGCGCCCCTTCCTTCATTACCTCTTTCCTTTTTTCACTGGCCGTCCGCCTTTCAAATAATCTGGGGGCACCACCTATTTTCTATCAGGGGGGAGGAGAAGAGTTGCTACCACACCGCGGACGAATTTTCGTCCGAGTCAAATCTCGCAATCCTTGCCAAGAAAGGGTCGGGATCCTAGGAACTAGAGGAAACAGCCGACCAGACAGCAATTGCTTATTCAGAGTATTTAGAATAGATTTGGGTGTTTTTAAAGCAAAGGTTTGCTTTGGTAGTTTGGGTCGCACTCTTACTCCCCCCAAAGATGCACCGGGCTGAAACAGGAGGGTTCCGGCGGTTCGACGCTCCGGGGGTTATTTTTGGGGGTCTAAAACGTGTTTATTTTGCAGTGTTTCCTCAACTCCGCAATGCGTTCATTCAACCACCCCAAATGGACCGGAGCATCGCCAGGATCCTTTCTGACGTGGTAAAGCATATTTTCCGGGCATCGGCTGCAAAGTTATTGCGCCTCAAAGGTTGAATGCCAAGGTAGGGTAATTTATGTTTGGGGTTACCCTTCCTTATTTGGTCTGCTCGTCCTGCTGCTCTAGTTTTGGTCCAGTCGTCTAGCTTGACTTGTAAGACTTCTTGCTCGCCAGGATCTCTACCCTCTATACCAATAGAGGTAGGGGCGCATCTGCCCTTCTCTTCACCCATCGATGAAGAACCAGCTGCGGTTAACCTAGGGCCGTATGGCTTGGCTGGTAGAACAGGTATTTTTGTAACAGCCCTACTGTGGCCCTGTTACACACTGATCCGCAAAGCCAAAGCAGAACAAGGAGAGAAAGAACTCACGGAGGCCAAAGGAAGTGCCATTTGGAAACTAGTCAATGAATGAAAAAGAAGGAATATTACAATCCCAACCATACAAAGTGAAGAAAGGTTTGCGGGGAAGTGCCAAGCTCTAAGAGCCGAACTCTTCCCCACAAATTGGACGTCTCCCAAGAACCCCCCACTCCAAATCAAACCCCCATCCTTTGACCTTACTGACAATTTCCAGGAAGTAACACCAGAAGAAAGCACATCCGCAATCAAATCATGCCCAACACACTCGGCCACTGGCCCCGATGGCATCCCATACCTATTTATCCAAGCGACGATCAAAGCAAACACCTAACTCCTCCAAGACATGTTCTCAGCCACGCTCCGCCATGGAGTACAACTAGACAGATGGAAAGTGGCAAGATGTGTACCAATCCCAAAGCCAGGAAAACCCGACTACTCATCGGCCAAAGCCTACCGACCAATCTCCTTATTGCAATGCTTCAGTAAAGTATTGGAGAAAATAGTGGCAACAAGACTATACACAGCTGGATCCATCCTGGAGACACTTATCAAAGACCAATTCGGAGGCAGACCAACAATCTCAGCGATCGATGCCCTACTCCGCACTCTCACACCTATCCAGCAGAACCTCCTAATCAAAAGAACTACAGGAACCACCCCAGACAGACCAGCCCTCTTTACAAACGAAATACAAGGAGCCTTCAACTGCGTCGACCACCTCCTACTCGCAGAAATCATGACCCAACAAAGAACTCAACACCACCTACATTGACGACGATGCACTCGTTCAGATTGCAAAAACACCCCTCTTCGCCACCAAAAGGCTAAACGAAAGAATGGCTGAAAGGGTAAAAAAGGCAACACCCCTCAACATCAAATATGAACCACAGAAGTCTGACCTTATCTTCTTCAAACCTACAACATCGAGCTCCCCCACACCAAGACACCCAGTCACAGTGGCAAATGAGGAAATCTACCCTAAAGACAGACTCAAATAGGTCGGAGTTTGGCTAGACTCAAACCTCTCCTTCTGACCACATATCAAAGAAACCATCGCCAAAGGCCTCCGCGTACTAGAGCAAATCAGGAACATAGCACACCTCCTCATAACAACAGTTAAATCCATACACCATCTTGTCGTCCAAGGCCTTCTCCCTACAATCCTATGGGGATCGGAAGCATGGTGGACAGGAGCAGACCACGCTCTCAGATCACTCCACCCACTCTATAACGAAGCAGCCAGGGTCATAACTGGCCTGCCACGTTGGACAAAAACCGAGAAGCTACTAAAAGAAGCAGCACTCCCCCCACTGGAACACCTCCTCACTCACAAAACATGAAGATACGGTACACAGATTCTTTGTTACCCGGCTGACCATCCCCTCAACGAAGAACTTATCCAACTTCTCCCCAGCAAAATAAAGAATACCAAAGGTACGGGACTCCACCGAGTCGCAACACTCATGCTTCCCTTCCAGGAACCAGGAAACCGCAGAGAAAGATGGATTCAGAACGATCTCATCACCAAACGCATGCTGCAGGAATGGAACTCCACCCGGATAACCAACTATCAGGAACCAAGAACCCTCAAAGTCAACCCCAAACGAGAAAAACTCCCAAGCTCCAAGGCAAAACTGATACACCGCATAAGATGTCAGGTCACCAGACCAGACAGACATGCAGTACATACATACCCCGAGCCCTGTCAGTGCGGATCAGAACAATCTTCCAAACGTACCATGATCTACTGCCCCCGATGGACACAACTACGAAGACCATTTATGGACAAAATCCCAGGACCGTCCACCTGGGAAAACTGGTTATTCACCAACCCCAACGTAGACCTGGTTCTACAATTTGCAGCAAAAACCAACCTACTCGACTGGTACGAAATGGACGAAGAGGATCCGGAGGAATGACGGACGGTTTCTTTCTCTCTTTCTTTCTTTTCTTTCCTTTTCGGTACCTCCTTTTTGACTGTTCGCGTTGATTCTTTTCTTTTCCTTTTTTTTCTTTTTTCGTATTTTTCTTATATCTGATGGCGGAGGAACCGGTGTGCGATAAGTCCTGTACTTCGAAGCAATATAAAAACCATAATCATAACCTGTATTTACTCCACGAATACTATGTTTGTTCTACGTCTCGTCATAGGGTTCAACTGGTTTGTCATACCACGTAGAGCCGTCTCATAGTCCATAGCCAAGAATACCTACTGCTACGCCTTCGCCTCGGTTGTATTCCTTGGCACTATAGTCCCTACGTGCATAGACCCCCGTTACAGGTATGCAGATAGGCAGAAGACAGCAGGTAGGCAGTCAAGCAGGTAGGTAAGCAGGTGGGATCCTCGAGATGTCAAATCTGACGTAATTTGCTAGCGAGTAAAGGGCTAGTGCCAGGATTTAAGCAGATTCGCAATAGTGGCTCACGTTTTGGTAGCTGGTGGGGCGTCAAGAGGCGGGATGTCATATATAGGACACCTACTAGGCATTAAAAGATGAGAGGTTATATTCCGGACACCTAATAGATGTTAAAAGACCATCTATCACATTTTGTATGCTTACTAGACACCAAAAGAAAACGTGTCACATTTTGGTGGCACCGGGATGAGGTTTTGTGAGCAATAGACAAGGTTTTGGGCGCAGAAAACGAGTTTGGACATCTGGACACATGGATTCATCCTGGTGAAACCCGTTTTTTGCTGATAACTCACTCTCCTTCTTGAGAATATATTTCTTGGGCTTTTAGAACTGCGAAGGAAAAATGGCTTATCAAGTATGTCAAGGGTGTTAAAAAGTCAGGAGGGATGTCAAAAATGATATGGGCATACTTCAAGTTCACCGCGGAATTGAACGGGACCTGTAGTGGGATTATGATGGGGGAAGGGGGGAGGACAAATGCAGATGCATATGTCAGGACTCTTGAGTTCTGTTTCCTGGATTTTTTGGCAGAGCCATGGGAGAAGGGTATCAGGCCAATTTTCATGCATGATAATGCTAGGATATACAACGTCAACCTTACTACTCAATGGTTGGAGGATCATGGGTTTGATATTCTTGAGGACTGGCCTACCTATTCACCTGATTTAAACCCTATTGAGCATGTTTGGGCACACTTCAAGAAGCTATACCATCAGCACTACCTCCATTTGGCATATGATACTAGATCACCTCAAGTAATTAAGCCCCTCATGGAGGAAGCTTTAATTCATTGCTGGGAACTTGAACTGTTACCTGATGATTTATTTGGTAGGCTGGTTGAGAGCATGCCTAGGAGAATAGGACAAGATATTAAATGTCAAATTGTTTTTATTTAGCTACTATTTAACAACTCTACAAAAAACCAGCTCTCAATAGGATCACCGTGGTGGAGCGGGAGGGTTCGAAACCCGTTGCTACGCCCGCCGTACGATCATTTACGGCATCGCGCTGACTCGATCACAGCCCCTGAGTTGGCTCGGTCACACACCCCTAATTTGGTCACTGATAGTTTTTCGAACCAAGGATAAATACCCACATAGCAACCCAATATTAAGTGGGCCCACATGTCCCTTGTTATGGGGGAGTAGCAACAATCGGTGACTGGACAAACCGCCATGTTGAAACTTGGCAAATCTCTCGACGTATGTAGGCATACATTCGGCCGGTCCTGGCGCCGGAGCTAAACCCTGGAACTTGGTTCCTGTGTTATTGTCGATTATCAAAGGGACGCAGAATGGTCTCTGTGAATTGATATCAGAAATATAGGCAACTTGGTGTAACAAAATCACGCGCAATGTTCACCTTCCTCCGCACTTAGCCTCTTTCTTTCTACGCATTGCATCGTGGTCCTCCACAGTACACTTTACCACCTTGCTCTGTGAATAGATGCCCTTCAACACGTTCTCTGTAGCTGCTGCTACAACCCCAACTGTGATAGCGACAGCGCTTGCACACGTTTGTGTCCCCTTAACACTTACGCTTACAGCCACAGACTGACTTTGAACGACCAGTACCTGGATCGCAACTCCCTCAAGGGCACACCGAGAAGCAGTCTCTCATACCATGAAGGTGTTGAGCTTATCAAAAAATTTATGGAATATGCCTCGAACCACACTGTGGAACAGTTCCAAGCCTTCACAAGTCAATATGTCCCGCACCCTATTTCGGTGCATGTCGAGATTACAACAATCCCATTAGAATGCCTAGACAAATCAGCGCAGCATGTCATTGATCAGCTCGGGCCCGACGGCGTGGAAAAGGTCGGTGGTAAAGCGTGGTGGAGGTGGAGGCCTAAAGAGCTGAGCGCGGAGTGGATCGAGATGCGCAAAGATTACTGGCACCGAACGCGACACCCGGAAAGACCTCCAAGAACGATGTTATACGTACATGGCGGTTAGTGCAATGTTTCATGTGGTCGGACTCGTTACAATGCTCAAGTACTGACAGTATGCAGGTGCCTACTTTTTTGGTAGCGTGGATGAACACAGGTACCAGCTCCAGCGGCATGCAAGGAAGCTTCAGGCACGAGTTTTTGCGCGTAAGTAATACATATCCGAACTAGCTGCCGCAGATACTAATATCGCGGGGTAACAAGCGCGTTATAGATTGGCACCCCAATTTCCATTCCCCTGTGGTACGTTTTACAGACGCCAAAAAAAACCAGCTCTCGAGCTCTGCTGGGTCCTTTAACGCCTCCCTTTAGCTAATTCACAACTCCAACAGGACTTTACGACGTACTAGCATGTTATTTGTATCTAATTAGCCAGCAGCCCCCAGGAACGATAGTACTGGCGGGGGATTCGGCTGGTGGAGGAATGATTCTATCAATGATGATAATCCTAAGAGATCAGGGCGTTCCTTTACCTGCGGGTGCTGTTTTGATAAGCCCCTGGGTGGATCTATGTCATAGCTTCCCAAGCCTTGTTCAGGGTATGTTTCGAATTTCGGCTACCGAGTGACCCTCCATGATGCACCTCCGCGAATCATAGTCTTTCTCAAGAGGTTTTAGTTCAGTTCTAACCAATGATGTGTCATTATAGAGAATAAACATGACTTTATCCCACCACACGGCTTTCTCCAAAAACCTTCTCTAGCTTGGCCCCCTCCAACTATGGATGATATCGAGGCGGCCAAGTTGGGCATAACTTTGAGTAATCCTACAAGTCCACCTGTGGGCTTTGAAATGGTATCGGAGCAAATAGTGGATCCAAAAGTTCCAGTTAAGCCATCACGCCGCAACACATCTATCGCTATTGACGGTAAAACCATAATCTTGAAAGACCAAATCCAGATGTATACCACCAATGATCTCATGAGCCACCCTCTAGTATCCCCCATTCTACAGGGCAGTCTAGGGGGCCTGCCGCCGCTCTTGGTCTTGACAGGCGGAGGCGAGGTATTGCGAGATGAGCAGATCTATTTGGCACACAAGGCGGCCAATCCCGCAACATACCCAACCTGGGAGGGACATCTAGCAGACGACCAGACCGGTAGGCAAAAGGCCAGTGTCGATAAATGGCCCCCTACCAAAGTCTGGCTTCAAATATACGACGATTGCTGCCACGTGACACCCACATTGAGCTTCACTAGGCCTGCAAAGTTTATGTATCGTGCCATCGCGCACTTTGGCGCATGGGCACTGACCAACGCCACACACACCAAGATTGAGGTAGTTGAAGACGACGACATCTCTATAATCTCCTCCAGCGACTCGGCCAACTTTGACGAGAGCGAAGATGACAACAGCACGACCGAGCCCACTGGCCACAAGCTGCAGCAGCGGGGCACCATCCGCGATGCCGACTCGACAAATGTTCCTCCCTTTGAAAAAAACATGATCCGGCAGCAAATTGACCGCCACGGCCGCATCTTTGACTTGCCGCCCCCCAGCGAGTTTCTAGCACTACAGATGAAGCCCGAGGAGATCGGGGTCATCAAGGAGACGCCTGTGCGCCGGTGGATGGCCGCGAAGGAGAAGTGGGATACAAAGTTCGCCGCCGCAAAGAAAGAGGTTCAACGCCGGAGGGCCAAGGAGCTCGCCAGCGAGTTTGTGGGGACTGGGGAGGGCGAGAGGCCACCGCCGAGTGCTGCGGCGGGGAGGATAAGGAAGGATGATGTACTAGTTGAGTCGGAGAAGAAGAAGCCGAGCTTGGGACTGAAGTGGTGGAGTTCTATGGGATATAGCCATGATGAGAAGACTGTGAGTTTCTTCACCTCTGAACCTCTGTAGTGCCGGCCAGGTTATTGACTCCAATTTCCAATATAGATGGCTCGAGAGAAGAAGGCGATGGGCGGGCAGAATGACAGTAATACTGAGATGACGAAGGATTCGGGGGAGGCGGTGGTCTCGGAGACGTAATTGGCTGTAGACTGGTCGTGTTTTATATCCTCTGGTTGATTTTAAGTAATTTTAGGGGGTTCTAAATAGAGGACGGGTCGTGATTGGTTTAGTTCGATATATAGGAAATCCAATCGAATACATCTCCTTAATAAAGATAATGAGTGATAACTGCAGATTCTGCTGGGGATTCTGCTAAACGCCAAGGATACGCGGCCATCGAGTGAGATTCCGTGATCTTAGCTCCCTGACTCCAGGCGACGGGCCCGCAGTACAGGTGAATCTCTATCTTCTCTAGGCCGGTGTCATGTACGGCTGTCGTGCTGCTGGCTCTGCAGGCTGGGCCGGGACACCCAGTACGCACGAATGCTCAGCCGTGACCAGGTGATTAAGCGTTAACGTTACACGTCTCTAATTCCAAAAGGCTCCCTGGTAAGAACTACATGTATGTAGCTACAGTCCCACGCTCTGGCTCTGCCATGCCTCTCTCGATGCTTCCTCACACGTAACGAAGGACCCAGACTCTTTATCAAGATTGCTATTCTATTTTATACATACTCTTCTAGGCTAATATGCCGAAGCTTTACGTTTAAAGATGGCGCTTGGATAAGGTTGCGTTGGCTCAGCTTGTAGTGCCAGGGCTTGGGGGCATGAAACTTTATCTGCATGGTGTAGTTCCACTGACATGTCGTGGGGGGTACATGCCCACCGGGGGGGGGGGGGGTTACAAGGTGCGGTTGGGACTATACTAGCACCGCTACTTTCGATTTTCCCGTATAAAGGATCAATCTCCGGTCCACTCTGGTTGGGGTGGTGAGAATAATCGATATCGATATATCCTACATTACGGGCCACGTTACATGGACGGTCGAACTGCGCCGACCATTCCAAAGGCCCCGCTGCTGCGAGGAAAATCATTTTTCCAATCCGATTCCCTGCCCAATCATCTGGAGATAGGGTGCAGGAAGTATAGGTAAAACCCCCATCCTGTACGTCCCTGATGAACGGAAGCAGAGAGTATATCGTTGGGCCCGGGCAGAACGATCAGGATGTACGGCGTCAATGTGACTGATCCCTGGCCACTGGGTACATACACACATGTATTCGCATTGAGTCGAAATTGGAGAAGCTCTCCTATCGTGCTTGGATTCACCGTCATATAACCCCCGACTCGTAGCGGTCCGGAGAAGCGGTGATGCCAATCAATATCGCCACTATCATTCTGTTGTCCCTACAGGCTGCAGCCAATCAGACACCAGCGGTTCAAGGGTCAATGATCTGCCCCCCAGGAAGCATGCGACTGGCAGGCCAATCGATAAGACCTGTCAACGCGCACGGTACCGATACACCGATCCATGATCCATCTGCATCCACGATAACTTAAAAGCCACCGCAGTTCTTCTCCGGAGGATGTTATTTTGGCAGACCTGAAGCACCCGGGACAGCTTGTTCTGCTGCTCCGTGGAATTCTCTTCCGCGGGAGTGTGTTGCGGGTCTCGCCAGTTGGGATGAAACCCTGGCCTGCAACCCTGCCCGGGCACCAACAACACCGGTGGGCCCTGCATCGCAACTCTCATACACCCCAGAGCCGCAGGATGTCGCAATATCGCAAATTTTTAACACCCCCCACCCTCGATGTCGCGATGTGCCCGCCATCCCGCACCTCCCACTCTACCATTCCCCGATAAGCCAATTGCTCCAGGAAAAAACCCTCAACCATTCTATTACTCTCCTAGTCTCCCGGAGTACACTATCATTAATTATTAAAAACTACGAATAACTTATATTTATAAACCCCACCGCTGCTGGACGGAATGTCGTGTAAAAAGACCGCCGCATCCCGCAACTGCACATCCTCAGAACCCTCTCCAAGCACTACAGAGCCCACAATGCCTGGTCTTATTGCCTCGCCCGGCCTACTGGCTTCCTACGACTGCACACAGCAGACCCACCTTGTCATCGGCTCAAACCCTCTCGCCGGCGCCCGCTGCACAAAATCTCTCGAGGTCGGCGCAAAGGTCAAGCTCATTGCGCCCGAGTCAGACGATCTTCACTACGGCCTAAAACAACGCATTGACGCCGGTGAAATTGAATGGATACGGCGCGAGTTCACCACTGAGGACTTGACTACTCTGGGTCGTGAGGAGGTTGACAATGTTGTCGACCTCGTCTTTGTGACTCTTCCCTTGTCCTGTGCTCAATGTAAGTAGAATCCGTAAATCGATCATTGATATCTCAAATTCACTCACAACCAAAAAAAAAAAGGCGCCTATATCTCACACCTCTGCCGCCGTCTGCGGATTCCCGTCAACGTCGCCGATGCCCCGCACCTGTGTAGCTTTACCCTTCTTTCTACATTCACCGACGGGCCTCTCCAGGTCGGTGTCACCACCTCCGGAAACGGATGCAAGCTCGCAAGCCGCATCCGACGTGAACTCGCCTCTTCCCTCCCCTCCGGCATCGGCGGTGCCTGCCACAAGATCGGTGCTCTCCGCCGCCGCCTCTGGGAGGAGGAAAACGCCTTCGACACCCCACTATACGACGAGGAGGACCACGCGGACCAGAAGAGCACTTTTAATACGCTCATCTTGCCCGAGGACGCCGAGGCCGCAAAGACCCGCCGCATCAGATGGCTATCACAAATCTGCGAATATTGGCCCTTGGAAAAGCTGTGCGGACTAGCCGACAGCGACATTGAGTCCGTTCTCCAAGCCTATACCACCTCCGCCGCGCACGACGATAGCACCCTCACCCCCGACCTCGACCTCCTTCCCCGCCGCGGCCGCATCCAACTCGTTGGCGCCGGCCCCGGGCACCCGGACCTCCTCACCACCGCCTCCCTCAAAGCCATCCAATCCGCCGACCTCATCCTCGCCGACAAGCTCGTCCCCGCCCCCGTCCTCGCCCTCGTCCCCCGCCGTGCAACGCTTCACATCGCCCGCAAGTTCCCTGGAAACGCCGACAAAGCCCAAGAAGAACTCCTCACCCTCGGCCTCACCAGCCTACAAAAGGGTCTCAACGTCGTCCGTCTCAAGCAGGGCGACCCCTACATCTACGGCCGCGGCGGCGAGGAATACGACTTCTTCTCGACCCACGGCTTCACGCCCCTTGTCCTTCCGGGCATCACCAGCGCCCTCAGCGCGCCGCTGTTCGCCGCGCTGCCGGCAACCCACCGCGGCGTCGCCGACCAGGTCCTCATATGTACGGGCACTGGAAGGAAGGGCGCTGCCCCGGACCCGCCAGAGTATGTGGCGTCGCGCACGGTCGTGTTCTTGATGGCGCTGCACCGCTTGGACGCGCTGGTCAAGGAGCTGGAGGGGAAGGGGTGGCCGTTGACGGTGCCGTGTGCGGTTGTGGAGCGCGCGAGCTGCCCGGATCAGAGGGTTGTGCGGACGACGTTGGAGAATGTTGTTGCCGCGGTGGAGGAGGAGGGGTCGCGACCGCCGGGGTTGCTGGTGGTGGGGTGGGCGTGTGAGGTTTTGGTGAAGGTGCAGCAGGGGAAGTGGGTGGTTGAGGAGGGGTTTAAGGGGATTTAATATGCTCGGTCCTGCTCTTCCTTCTGTTCGGTTTTTTTGTGATTGGGTTTTGGTTATTTGGTTATTTCTTTTATTGGCTTCTCCTTATTTCTTTTATTTCTGCTTGTTTATTTTTTGGTTTATACTAGGGCCAGCAATTGTACCTACTTTTGGGGGTTTTTCTGTAATTATCATTGACATCGCATATCGATGTTGCTCTTCTATATAGCTGGTTCTTATTGGCTGGATTGTGTCCGCGGACATGCTCTTTTTGTGGAAATTACTTTAAACAATACTTAAATGAACAAGAGGGAAGAGAGAAAAGAGCCGTTAAACATGCTAGACCCATCGATCTCCAAACTCTTCCCCCCCAAAAAATAACAAAATATGACGAATCCCGTGAAAATAATAAACCCCACACCTGTTGAACCAAGCTGCAAGAAATAAAAGGTAGAGGGGTAACTACAACTAAATAGAAAGAATCCCTTAACAGAAAGCAAAACAAAAGAGTCCGAAAAATATACACTCTCAAAGCTCCCTACCCAAACCCTTTTATCTTTTCAGCCCTTAAAACAGGATAACCATACCAAACACCGATCGTGATATATATATACACGCCCTTCAATTTTTAGTCCCATCATTAATCGCCGTCCTACTCTAATTTTTTCATCACCGGAATCCGTGAAGTGTGTTGTTATGAACCCAAAGAACATTGAAACTTGTATTCTCCGGGTCGATCAATCATAAGTCCAGTCGAGAGAATATACATTTCCCTTTTAACCGTTCGGTATTTACTGGCCGTTGATTGCGCCATTAAAACACTCGAGGAGCTATATAGGTGGTTACATGTTAGTTACCAGCCTGATGGGGGGAAATCCGCGCGAGTATCATCCCACCTTTTCGTTTGCAATCCCCTGCCCGACCAAGTATCTCCCTAGGCGCTCAACAACCTCCATCTGATCTTCCGGTGACAAGCTTGTGATCGCAGTCTCCAAGATTCCACCAACAGTTGCGCGAACGTGGACGGCGATAAACGAGTGGTAATACATATATGCGAAGAATCCCATAATAAACTGGCAGTCCATGCGATCTGCAAAAAGAAAGATAAATCAGCCATTGCGCAAATGATAAAAGAGCATCCTAAAATCAATATTAGGTTTTCTACCTGTAATTCCTCCGTGGCCAGGAACCAAATCTCCAAAGTCTTTGATCTTGAATGTCCTTTTCAAGCCACTGGCAAAGAAACCTCCAAAGGGCGCAATGAGCGATGCAAATGTGGCCATCGCCAGAATGTGGAATTGCATGGGCTCGATGAGCAAGATCTTCCCAAAGACGGGTTGCATCCAGAATGGTAGCTCGTATTCTTGCTTGAGGAAAACCGGGTTGGGGGTACATTCAAGACCGGTGAACGCGTTTGAGCCAAGATCCTGGAGAATGATATAATATGATCAGCACTAAGCTCCGGATTATAACGGTAGTTCAAATAAGCGCCAGGAAAATAGGGAAGATATGTCAGAAACACCTAGACTCTGCAATATGTCGTAAGACATTCAGAAGTCTAACATCTATAAAAAAAAATTGTGGTATATCATCATTAAAATGTGACGAGCCGGGAATAATCATGGTTCACGTCCAAAAAGAATGCTGTTTTTTTTTCAAATACGGATAACTGAGATAGAAGCATATATTTCTTACCTTAACGGGGCAAACAAAGTACTTGTAGCGCATCAACTGGTTTGTCATAAACAACCCAAGGATTACAGTACAGATCCATGCTCCCAAAAACCCTTCAACTGTCTTTTTGGGGGATATCTTAATGAGCTGGGTTCGTCCAAAGGTAATACCGCAGATATAGGCGAAAATGTCATTCGTAACGACAAGAGATACCGGCAGGAAAAACCAAATCATTCCTTCGAAAACATTGTTCATGATGAAGTGCGACTGGACGACAACAAGGTAGAGAACCATGTGTGTCCATGCAAACTGCGTGAATTGGAACTTGTAATGCCCTTTCTTGAGCGAAGCAACAAAGAATACAAAGCCTGAATAAATATTAATAAAACACATCGGTTGGGTGATGGAGTCCTGCTGTGATCATACCCATCATGTAAAGAACAAAACTAATAAAGCGGTGATGTGTCGCAAGTGGCAGTAAGAATGCATCAACCAAGACGATATGCTTGAAGTAATAGATCACACTTTCACCGTACAAAAAGTACATGGTGGCGGCAAGAAAATACCAATTCAAGCTTTTTGTGAACTGCAACTTCTTTTCCCGAGATGGCACATTTGCGATAGCGATTACCTCTTTGAAGGTTATCACCTGCACAGCACTGACCAGTCCCACGATGTATATGTGGCCCGCCGCCATCGCCCAGAAAAAGGTTCCTATCATCACCAGCGTCCATATTGTGCGGGTAATGAAAGTCTGCTTTTTCTTTTCATATTCTGATAGTGGAGTGGACTCTTCCTAGAAAGTAGTTTTCAGGTGTCAACGGTTCTGAACTCTTTAAAGACCATCATCGCCTGATGTATCCATGCTTTGACGTCGAAAAATTAATTACCTTCAGTACAGGCGATCTACTTCCAGTACTAGAGTCTATGCCATCCACAGATATTCCGTTCCTTAAAGGACTTAAAGGGGCGTTATCATCACCAGAAAGGCTGTCTCTGCGACCAATGTCGCTAGATGTGCTCAGATTCGAGCGATGTGCAAACTTTACGTTTCTTCGGGGTTTTGCCATTTCCACTCAGATTGTGGAGAGAGAAGGGCAAGAGGTAAAAAAAAGAAAGAAAATAGAAGTTTGATGTAAGCTTATCCAAAGAAGCAAGAGTAAAGAGCTGATTTCCTGTTATCTTGATGTTTAAGTGAAGTAAGTAAATCTAGCGAAAGGGGCGGATGATGACGACGAGGGCAGCCAGCGGAGGCTGAGCGGATGACGGGTAGGTAGGTACTCCAAAGGTTGGTTGTGGTGAAGAAGCAGAGATGGGTGCTGAAACTGGGTTACCAACCAAGCAGAAAAAATACTGATGACAGATGTTCAAATACCACGTCTACTTTTCTTTTTCCTAGCTTTTCGTGTTCCATTCCCTTTCCTGATTTTTTCTGTTACCACATGTACATATGGCTTGGCTACATCCCGCTGGAGAAGATCGTCGTAGGACAAATGGAGGCCTCTTCTGACTCTGATAAACTGTCGCGTCGGGTAAGGTTTTGTACCCGGAAGAGCAAAGTCCGTAAACTTCATCGGTGACGCGGAGCTACGGATTCCGTGATCTAATTCAACAGTTTTTTGTTGGTGAAGGCGGGGGAGGTTACGGGTGGCCTAAGACATGCTCTAGGATACCGTATGCTATGTACCTACAGCCTACCAGCAGTTGATCATACTCTTACTTAGCGATGTGCCGAGGCATTTGTCGTACAGACTACAAGTGTCGTCGCCTTGGCGACTAGACAGCTCTATACCAAATCCTAGTCCCGATTTTAGCTATTTACTAAACCATTGGTGGGTTAAGTACTTGATGAGGACTATGAAACAACCCTTATCATCCAACGCACTCGAACTGTAAACATCGGGATAAAATTATTGGGCGTTTTTTTTTTTTTGACGAGACAGAAATAACATCGAGTGACCACCTGTGATCCAGGTCCGTCCAAGAGAAGTTTATTTAATTACTCTTGCGGATCACTAAGACATAAGAATACTTCTCTAATGATGCTCATGATTTGTTCTTTTCGGCGAATATTCTATGGCTTTCAACTCTCCTAAATCTCAAACATTACTGATCTTGTCTGCTCTTCCCTCCAACATCTGGGAACCCATAATCCGCCGCACTTTCGCCTAATCCCCCTTCACCTCTCCCACCTTCCACTGTGGGACTTTTTAGCCTCGCGCTTTCAAACATAAAACTACGGTCAAATTCTTCGACAGGGCTCCTTAATTCGACCAGCTCCAAAGCTTCTTTCAACGTCTTCCCAGAATTGTCAAGAGCTGTCAAAAACCTAGCAAGCTCTTTACATAGATCCCAATCACCCTCGGAGACAGCTCTCGCTAGTAGCCGCACCATATCTTGTGATGAGCTAGAGAGCTGCTCAAGCGTGTGCAAAACAAGAAGATAGCCACCCGCGGTTTTGAGCAGCCCTCGCGCTAATGACTCTTCAAAAAGAACCTGAGGCGAACCCACGACCGCGAATAAGTGGCTCCATGATGCGACTTCTGTTTTTCGTGTGCAACCAACAATCACATCCAGATAGTGGGGAAAGTGCGTAAGAAACTGTATTACACCCGGAAGGACGGCATCTATACCAGTTTTAGATTTGAGCTACTTAGGGTTGAATAGAAAGAGTATTACCCTCAGGTTCTGGAGCATTGTCCGCTTCGTCATCCAACACATCATGGAGTAGTATCTCTAGCGCGTGCCCAAAATAAGTGAGCTTCTCATAACCAACTGCTAGCTCTACTGCAGCGTCTGGTCGGTGATTTGCTAAATGATCCCTTAAGAGATGGTTTATGAAAAGATGGGTCTGTTCGACTAAGTTTAGAAGTGCAGCAGATATTTAAGGGAATGGAATAATTGCCAACATACCCGTGTAGCAAATTTGAAGTAGGAGAAGTTAACATCCTTCCGCTGTACTAACTCAGATTCAATACCAAGTATTATACCCTTCCCCAAGAGTGTAGACATTGGGTAGAAGTCAACACCAATCCGTACTGGTAGAGGGATTTCCTTCCCGCCGTCACCATGGGGGGCATCAAGTATATCCTGGACATTACTCCAAACCTAAGATCATTTCGTCATCAGTCCCAGGATCTACCTTGCGAGTATGGGAGTTGGAAGTACCCGCATATCCGTCCCGTCAAACAACCACAGTGAATCTGACAATCCATCCCCCACTCTGCTTCCATTCGGTGAGTGCAAATCTGTCGGCCCTTTCCCAGGATCTGATCCACTCGGTAAGAAATGATGTTGCAAAGGATGTTCCCTCATCAATGCATAATACTCAACGTTCTGTTTCAACGTTCGCATATCATACTTTGCGTCACCATCTTCAGTCAATGTAGGCTGGAGCATCACCAGTTTACCGTCGACTAGAAAAACAACTGTTGCAACTGCTACGTCCTGAGATGGATCGCCGCTACGCGTTTGTTCCTCTGGCAAAATCCAGCTGATCGCTCGAACCCGCGCAGGAGAACGAACTATACCATGAAAGTATATTTGACCAACCTTTGTTATCTTGACACTATCTTTCGTTACCTGGACTATGAAATGATAAAGAATATTCTCGTGAGTATAAACTAAGAGCGAGTCTTCACCGGCTTGGGATATTGAGACCACAGCCGATGGTAGGCTCTCGACATGCAGCAACAATGTATTGTCCAATTGCAATTCCCGAGAATATAATCGTATCTAGGTAGTTCAGATATCTTAGTATTGAATCCGGGGAGGATAGTATTCATTGAACCCCTAGGAAGACTTACCTCATATGAATCATCACTTTCAACTGCAGCTATCAGGATGTGATGATACCAGCACATACCACCCCTAACCGCAAATTCTTGCTCCATTTGCTCATTGACAAATGTCTTCCACCTTCCACTATTGACGGAATAATGCGCCAGACCCCTTCTGCCCGCAATCGCAACATATCTTCCATCAGGTGATATAACTACACTCCTTACTGGCCAGTTATCAACCAGATAAACGGTTGGCATCTGGACATGATGCCATAGAACACTGGTCTCCTGGGAGATTGCTGTAATATCAGACTGGTCATAGCCGCGATATATGAGGATCTTCTCATTAGTTTGTAGGACTGCGCGCGAGATGTTCGCCGAGCTGAAGCAACCAGTGACTGCAGACCTGGCGAACTCTAGAACCCACAGTCGTTCGTCACCACCTTCTTTCACTAGAAGGATCTCTCCCCCGCCAGGAACCCAGCATGCATCTCGAATGCCAACTAGATATCCCTCACCCGGGTTTTTTTCTATTATCCTACCATCTGTAGAGAACGAATTCCCTCCTGGCTTTCCATACACACTCCATGTAGCCCAGCCTTTTTCGTATCCTGAAAAAAGACAGTAGCCATCGGGTGACCAGGATATTACTGTTGCCTTTCCTGTGGAGTATGGTGAAGAGGGAGAAGGGATGATATGCGACAATGGGATACCACCATTATAGTCTTTCACAGTATAGACATAGATAGAACCTCTGACAAGGTCAATTTGAATTTTTGGTCTTGAATAGAAAGGGTAGTTATTTACATACCCAGAGCACGACACACCAATCAATGAAAACCTGGCGTTTATGGAAACCCTTTCTGCCTTCTCCACAGCAGATTTAGGTGTGTGAAAGCAATGGCCTTTGAACATACGAGGCGATGATTCAATTTCCTAGGTGATCTTAGTATAAATGTACTAGGTGCACCCAACCTTGACACAAATATCAATGTACAAACCTTCTGGACTGCATAAGCTCGGCCGTCGTTTGTGATCCATGTTGACAAGCTCATAGGTTTATCATGAATCATATCAGTAATTATAGCTATTGATATCATCCAGATATTAGTATACCAGTGATTTATTAGAATAAATCTCTGTAATCTCGCACGTACCAGACCAGCAAACTACTAACCTTTCTTTTGCACCCAAAGCATTCGGCTCAGTAATTCGGTTGTCGTCTGATTCCCTTTCGCGTCTGGAGTCCACCTGATGCACTGAATTGCAGAAGGTTTCACTGTGGCTACCATCAATTCTTCATCGAGAGCCAGTACTCTATCACTTCCATTAGAGCCCAGCTTCTTCCTATCATTAGACCAAACTTAGAGGCCATACTTGCTAATTCCCGCATCAACCTTGATAACCATCCTAAATCTCATTGAGTACTCTTTAACTCCTCCAGCTTCCCCTACACCCAACATCAAACCTCCCGCCCCAATGGCTGCTTTCCCGCCAGCTCCGCTGGCATGCATTGCGTTCTGTCGTGCATAATGGTGATTATTTACAAACGCCGGTTTGTATACTCTGGCGTCTCGAGTTGGGTCGTTAACAAGTGAATATGTTATTAGATATCCGAGTGATGTTTGAACCACAAATATCATAGAATCAGGTCGAATCAGAACATCTGTATTTACGCCATACGTGTTCAACGACGACTGAGAACGACGAACATGAGCAACTACTGCTGTCGGCTAAGGTAGAAATCTATATCAGCACTCCTATATCCCTCTTCCGTCACTCGATGCTTGTGGTACGAGAATCGGATAGGCTTACTCACCTTCATCTGCCAGATGGTGAGCTCTGAAGCGGTGATGGTCGCGAACAAAAACCCATTTCTCGCTACTTTCAGTGCAATGATGTCCCCCCGCCCTGGTTCGCCATCTTTTCCCAGGCCTGAAATACTGCTTGTAGTAGAATCTGCCCTGTCCGCCCTGTCCGCCCTGTTCTTTTTGGGGACATCTAGCATATCCTGATCCACTACCTCTTTCTCCCCTACCTTCTGGCCGTCCTGGCCTAGAGCGTCATCATCTTCTTCCTCGGGTAGTTCTTTGACCTCCTCAAAACCTTCATCATCTTCGCCGTCGCCGTTGCCCGAGCCAGAAGACGCAGAGAGACTATTCCGTACAAGCTCGGCTGACCCGTCATCAGAATCATAAACCGGTGGAGATATAACTGCTGGAAGTTTAGCAGCATATATTCGGGGTGTGCCAACTGGCCAGTACATTGTTTCCCCCGCCTGTGCGTTCTCGCTTTGTATGGGCTGAAGTAGTGGAGTTCTTGAACGCGATTACGAATGTAACACTCAATGGGCGTCACGGTGTCAACAACGGTGCAAGTAGATATATATCCGGGTGTGAGTACCGAAGCTGGCGCCTGCACGAGTTCTCTAAGTATAGATTAAGCTTAAATAATACATGAGATGCAGGCCGGAGTGACGGTATTGCACCATCGATTATGTCGAGCTTTGATCACAGCAAGTTCTGACCCCGGAATAGCTCTGGCAGTTCATTCAATTCGGTGCAAGCATTGAGGTTGAGGCTCCGAGCCCAATACCTGGTTCCTTATTATACGCTGGGGCTGCAGTCTGATGGACAATATGCACACGTGATCTTGAATTACAGCGATTCACAACGAATTACAATTTATAAACCGCTTTGCTTGTTGTAGGACAAAAAGTTCATTGCTCGCGCAATTTGTGACAAATAGATGTAGTTAAGATCCCGATTTATTAAGAACCAGAACGCCAACCCGTAGGAAACAGTCATGAACTCCATTGATCTAGAATTTACATTGCCCTTTCCCATTTGAAGAACTTTTGCGATCCTCCCAGTTTTTTTATTTGTTAAAAAGATATTGCCAATCCTTTGTTTCCCCCAACACCCGGTTTATCGAGTTTAGTAGAAGCTAGAACAATCCAGATCAGCACGGAACTACTAGGTAATAATTAAGAGAGGCCGCTCACAATCCAATGATCTTTCCGGCAACGTGCTTACGCCTGGCCTCCTCGTGGTCCATGATACCGGCAGAGGTGGTCAAGACAATGTATCCGAATTGACGGGAAGGCAAGAGCCTCACAACCCACTTCTCGAAATCGGTGATCTTGACCGGGTAGCGGGGAGAAATGCATCCAGTCTTGTTGATACGTCCGTTGAGCTGGATGACGATCTTTCCGGAGCGGTGGTCATCGACCTCCTCAAACTCGCCGATGTATCCTATCAATGAATTCATTAGCATATTGCGTTGAATTAAACGTTTCATGGTCTATAAGATGAAGATTAAAATTCGGGAAAAGGAAACGTGTAAGATCCAGCGCATGATGTTTAATTTTTCGGGTACTTAAAGGACAAAAGTCGTGGGGAAGTCGAGACATTCCGTCTAGTTATCAACCCGATAAAAAAATGCACAAAATAAATATAGGCAAAGTGTTGTTGAGAAAACAAGAAATAATCGAACATACCGTGCTTCTGCATAACGCTCAAGAACTTGACGATGACCTTAGACGAAGGCCTGATGAGGACCTGCCTCTTACCGGCCTTCTCGGCATTGTTGATGGCGTTGAGGGTATCGTTGAGAACGGAAGTTTTGACCATTTTGACGGTTTTCGAGGTTTACTGTGAATTGCGGCGAGAAAAAGGGTCAGTCATTCGGAGCAGCCATTTTGAGTGTCCGCCTTTCTTTTCTCGGGCGGACTCCAAGAAAAGGTAAGATGGATTCAAAAAGCTGTTTGTTGACTTACCTTGGGAAAGAGGTGGGCGGATTGGCGTTTCTGCTGGTACGGATTTGTTGCTAAGTGTCGTCGTTGACTTTTGTTGTTTTGTTCTTATTTGAAAGTTGCCATGGTGAGCGTTGTTGTGTGGGAAAGTGATCTGCGAGTGACTGTTTTCCTTCAGTAGGGTTTAGTATGGCCACTCTCCAGCTTACATAAGAAAAATCTGCTGGACTTGGCTTAAGAAACATTACATGTATGTCAGCCTATTAGGACCTTTGTCCGCACTCATAGGTACAGTAGACAACTGCGCCTTACTGGTTAACTTCAGCCTCGTTTTGGAAGATACTTAAAAGTCTTTTGATTTAATTTTGCTTGTCAGTACTCGTAGAAGCCTTCCCTTAGGACGGCAGTTAAATGAAGCATCTATAAGTAAGACAACTTTAACTTGTAACCTTTGCGGATAGAGCTAGTGTGCATACATGTATGTATGTATCTACATACCTAAATTGCAGACGGATTCTATTAAAGACCCATCATTATAAGATTTAGATGCCATAGCACTTGAACTACATGTATGTCACTGAGTGCGGCTGTCTGTAGAATCCCCTCCTTCATTATTCATTTGTAAATCCCACCAAAATACCCTAGACAGGTTCCTCGAGATACATGTACCTACATGGTACTTTACCTACATGTGGAATGTTTTTTGAGAGTTAAGGCCCCACAATCTTAGCGTCCTTGGCCTATGCAGGTCCTACTAGAGTGAAGAATAACAATTACCCGGCCAACATCTGCAGGCTCTCGCAGGGAAAAAATATTTGCTCCATTGCTACCAGCCCAATATTCGAACGATAATTTTGGGTGCCATATCCAACTGGACAACAATCCACGAAGGATCATGTCATCCTTTTTTACAGTTCCAAACTCGGCTAAAAAACGCAAACGTACCGCAGTTTCTGCCTCCGGAGGTAAACACAAAAAATCGAGGGAAAGCTATCTTCAGGATAGGTCTGGTGGTAAAAAGGCAAAGCCGGTGGACGACGAGGATATATCTAGCGAATCGGAGGGCGAAAGTGAGGATGGAAAAGCTATCGCCACAGATGATGAGGAGGAAGACGAATATGAGGGAGAGACTGCTGCCGAGAAACGATTGAGGTTGGCGCAGCAGTATCTGGACAATTTGAAGCAGGAAACAGGTAAAACGAGAAATTGCGGTTCGACCGGGGAGGTGCTTCATGCTGATACCTTGAGATATAGATGAAATGGGGTTTGATGCAGCAGATATAGATCGTGATATAATTGCGACCCGTCTTAGAGAGAGCGTTGTACGTATCTTCGTTCTAAGTTCCACGTTGAAAGCTAATATAACTTCTAGGCGGAAGAGAAAGGCAAAATCTACCGTCGTCTGGCATCGCAATTCTCCTTTGACACCGCTACAACAACTCTCTTCCGTATGAATTGTGGTTCAACCACTGCAATTGCTACCCGCGATCCATACATCTACACCGTAACTAAGGATCGTCATCTTGTGAAATGGACTCTCCCTCCTTACCCACCTCCGCCTGCCACGGGAAATTTTACGCCTGCCAAAAAGCCAAAGCGAGTTCTCTTCGCCCGGGGTGGCACAAAGCATGATGCCGAATTTAACGGACATATCGACGACATTCTCTGTGTTGCTGCATCCCAGGACGGAAAGTTTATTGCGACAGGTGGAAAAGATAGTAGACTAGTGGTTTGGGACGCGGAAACCTTGAAGGTTTTAAAGGTCTTCAAGCACCACCGAGCAGCAGTAAGCGGTGTGGTATTTCGACGTGGAACAAATCAGCTATACTCCTGCGCGAATGATCGTACAGTAAAACTCTGGAGCTTGGATGAATTGGCGTATGTTGAGACACTATTTGGACACCAAGACCAAGTTGTTGGAATCACAGCCTTGAATGCAGAACGTTGCATTACGGTTGGTGCCAGGGACCGTACTGCAAGATTATGGAAGATAGTAGATGAGACTCAACTCGTGTTTCGCGGTGGCGGAGGAAGTACTGGTGATTCTAAGAAGCCGAAAAGGGATAAGAATGGTAATGAGAGATATGAAGAGGGAAGTATAGATTGTGTGGCGATGATCGATGATGAGTATTTTGTCACCGGGAGTGATAATGGGTAAGTGATCACGACATCTCCATCTTAAGATCTGACTGACTGTGAGCACGGGATAGTAATATATGTCTTTGGTCTGTACACAAGAAGAAACCTGTCCACACCATATACTATGCCCACGGCCTCAATCCTGGACCAACACCAAATCAATCTTCAGCCGAAACCAACCCTGATCAAAATCCGCCTTGTCCTCCTCAGCCTCGTTATATCACTGCGCTTGCCGCAGTCCCTTACTCTGATTTGATTGCTTCGGGGTCATGGGACGGACATGTGCGTATCTGGAAAGTCTCTGCGGACAAAAAGAAGCTCGAGCGTGTTGGCGCAGTTGGCGTTCCCGATAATTCAGACAAAGAGATTGTTAGAGGAGTAGTAAACGGACTCTCGATCTTCGAGAGAGGAGAAAAGGGGAAAGAGGGATTGGTAATATGTGCAGGAACTGGGCAGGAAGTGCGGTTGGGAAGGTGGATGAAGCTTGAAGGCAGGAACGGCGGGATGGTTCTAGAGATTCAGAGGAAGGCTCTTGAAGAGAAAGCAACGACCGCTAATGAGGAGACAGAAGAGGCCGAATAAACTACATATCCTATAAGCTAAGTGTTTAAATATCGAGGAGTTTCTGTATATTCTTTTTTCTATCGTTATCGTTTTGTATATATGAAAATGCAAGGCTAGGAGTTTCGAATTCTACACTGTAGCTTCTAGGTTTTCTTTTCCTCTCCTTTTTTTCCTCTAATAGTCGCCCGTGACCCGTCTTTTTCCTCCCAGGTCAATTGAATCGGTCGTGAAAATAAGAGGTGAACCCATTGTTAAAAAGCATTCGCGGTTCGGTTAAATTAAGGGGTTGGCGCTAGATCATTACATGTACATGATGTACATAGTTATTAACCGAAAGATAGTAGTATTAAATGTAATAATATTATTATTTTTGTGGTGGTCTTCCACATAGCTCGGGATAGTGGTTGCATCATTAGATGTCACTCGTACCTACTGCACCCCCGAGATTATAATATGACTTCAAGCGAAGGGTACAGTATCAATATAGATGTTTTACCTACACATTTATTTTATTCTCAAGTCAATGTAACTGCATATATACGTCATACATGTAATCAGGTTCCATGCGTTCCGATTCGGCATCCTTGATGTATGGTTAGAACATATGTATGATCATATTTTGCCTGGATTTCTTTGGTGCCGGTGTGGTGGGGTTTGATCGTAATTTTGTCACAAAAGTGCGTGGGAAGGCGCGGCGTAGCAACCTCCCGGGCCACCACGACTACCCACCCAGCAACCACAATTGATCCTTTGGAGAGCTGGTTTTTTGTATAGTTGTTAAATAGTAGCTAAATAAAAACAATTTGACCCCTTGCCTTTATAACAGCCCTATTCTCCTAGGCATGCTCTCAACTAGCTACCAAATAAATCATCAGGTAACAGTTCCCAGCAATGAATTAGACCTTCCTCCACAAGGGGCTTTAATACTTAAGGTGATCTAGTACCATATGCCAAATGGGGGTACTGTTGATGGTAAAGCTTCTTGAGGTGTACCCAAACATGTTTAATGGGATGGAATAGGCAAGCCAGTCCTCCAGAACATCTACCCTATTCTCCTCCAACCAGAGTTGTAAGACTCCGTTTTTTTGCCACAGCAGGGAGGCTGGTCATTCCCTCCTAGCTGTCTGGTGGGGTACATGGTCTCTGGGCGCCATCGGTGGTGGTGAAAGATTTTGTGTTCAGGCGTTGCGACCTCGCGCCTTCCCATGACTTATGGCATATTGTGGTGGTTGGTGGTGGTCTTTATCGTAGCTTATCGCTCCAGTTTTGAGGCTCGGCAATTATTTCAATGCTCGTGACTTCGCGTCCCCAAAATTTGAGTCAAGTCATACCTCTAAAATCCCCCACCAAAACTTTCCAGCCATGCCTCCACGACTCAAAGCAGTGCCAAAACCCGTAGCCCGTCGGAGGGTTGCTGGAGGAGGAGAAGCCTCCGCAGAAGCCTCGCAGCCTTCGACAGGACCATCTACACCTGCCGCCGAAATCGCGGAGCCTCCTGCACCAATTGCTCAGGCACCACCACCTGGGAGATTGGATAGCCTTACGCCAAAGCCACTTGTTGGGCCACCTATAAGGGGAGCTGCAGGTGGTTTGAAGTTCAAGCCGAAGGCCATTGCAAGAAAAACTAAAGAGTGAGCGGTTACTTGGGCCTCCGGTCGCATTTGTTTCGTTGTGCTAATTTTGAAATAAGAGAGCGGGATGCTATCGCAGCAAAATTTGAAGCTTCAGCTACCCCAGCGCCGGCTCGGGGGAACCGGGGTGACCGCGGTCAAAGGGGCGGAAGGGTAAGGGGAAGAGGACGAGGTGGATTCTCAGATACGCCTGCCACAGCGTCTGGACCATTTGCATTAGGAAGTGTTAATACTGGTATATTATACACAAGCGTGTCTTGTTGTCCGGGTTTATTGGTTACTGATATTTTATAATCTTATCTAGGTCGTCTAAAAGAGGTTGCTGTCGAACGCGGGACAAATTTTACGAAGCATAGACAGTCTATGGGCGCAGACTTAGATGGGGTAAAAAGAAAAGCGAAAATGAAAACCGAAGACGGTCAGGAGATAAATTATTCGTCCTCTGACGACTCCGATGATGCCAGAATGGACGTAGAATTTATAGGGTACCTCGATGATCTCGCAGGTAAAAAGGATGACGAAGGCGACCAGCAGATGGACGACGAAGACAGACTATGGGGAGCTGGAGCGCCACTCAGAGTTCCTAGAAGCCATCATCATGAGCTGAAGTCTTCAGTGAACACTGACTCGAGTACTAAGACAGACAAAGGCATAAAAAAGGGAAAAAGCAAAGTGGAATTTGAAACAACAATAAAAATTAAAGACGAGCCGGTAGATGACGATGATATCGCACTCCCGGATTTGGACTCGCCACCTCTATCTCCGCCCTCACCAAAGGCTGCAAAGCCAGACCCAGAGGTTTTGACACAGCAATTTAAAGAGGAAACAGAGATGGAAGAGGTGGACCGCCAAGCGACCCTAAGGGAGATGGTTGGCGACTTCTCTGGTATCAAAGTCGACGACGATATCGAAATGGTTAGTTTGGGGCCCTTTGCTTTTGTCTCGAATTAATCATTAACCTTTGCCTATAGGAGTCCGGTATCACTGATTCTAAGAAGAATTTGGAACTTGATAACCAAATATTCTGTTTCCAATTCCCTGAAATCCTCCCCCAACTTGTTTCCTCAGAGGATGCTAAAGAATCTATCGCGGTCGCTCCAACGGCACCCATAAATACCGACGACAAATCTGCCGCCTCTGCCCCACCCCTCCCTAATGTTCCCTTATCGCTCAAACAGCAAAAGATATCCGCCAAAGCTCAAATGGCGCTCCTTGAATCCTTCCCGCCATCTGGAGTAGCTGGCCAACTCCGGGTCCATAAATCGGGACGTATCTCTATTCTTTGGGGCTCCCAAGATAGCGAAGATGGTCCCATCGAGTTCGATGTCAGCAGAGGCTCAAGGATGGGGTTCTTACAGGAGGCGGTCGTGATTAAACAGAAATCGCCATGGGGAGAGCAGGATGTCGATGAAAAGGGGAGACAGAAGGGGGCAGCGTTCTCTTTAGGACAGATCAAGGGAAAATTTGTTGTTTGCCCAAACTTCAGCCAGTTGCTTGGAGCGGAGAAGGATAAGAAGAGGAAAGATAAAAAAGGGAAGGGGAAGGCAACGGATATACAAAATGTCGAACCTTAGAAAGACATAGATCACCTAGGAGCTTTTAATTTATATTTGCTAACCAGCGCACAAATTAGAGTGTTTGTGCAGAGACGAAATCTCTTGTACATATAACTCCAAGATGAGTAGTTTGCATGGACTGCTCTCACCTACATACATATCTCTCGATGTCTTATATTTTGGGTGTTAAAACTAAGCACTTTTGTGATTTCTCAACCCTTAACGTATTACACCGGGAAAACGATCATCACTGGGAAAGCAACCTCACCTCACAAAAAGAGGTTGTGGGCATCAAAACAAAAATATATGAGGGCAGGCACATATAAGAGGGCTCTCTGTGTCTTTTCCGAATGCTGGAGTTATATAATGAATAGAAACCAAAATTTGGTAAAGTCGATAAAGCTTACACCCCCTAACCCAGTCAATGACCTCTCTAAAGCAATACTCTTGCTAGATAGAGGTAAATGATGTGAAAAATAGTTGGGAGACATCTAAATAACACTTCTGGCTACTTGGTTCTGTAATTGTGTATATATTCAACTTTCTTCAGCAACCTTGGATGATCCGTTGTCACCCTTGATTGCTTTCCCGGTGACGATCGCTTTCCCGGTGAAACACGTTACGGGATGATCATCCAATGCGATCTATCTTGAAAATATCGATCGTTTGTATGGACTAGTATAAAGATCACGGTGATATCCTAAAAAAAAAAAAAGAAATCCACTAGTGTGAAATAGTACAGTAGAGTTGTATATATATATTCTTATGATCTTCTCAAAAACCCGCTGGCGGCAAGCACGTCCTTCATCACTTAAAAAACAGTAAGTGAGTACATGTAGTTAGCACATCTAGATGTATTAATCTATAGCTAGCTTCTGATTAGAATAATCATCAAGTCTACTTGCCGGATTTTAAAGAGTACGACGGAAGTACAAGGAAGGGTGAGTCGCAACCGTACGTGCTCGCACCTGATATAACACCTCAACACCGAGCAAGTATCATAACCATACGTTTTTCTGGAGGAATATACTAGTATATTGGTAACAATAGTTATCGGGCATAACAAATTGGACTCATTGCATTGGGCTTCGTCGAGTTGGGCTTCATTGCGTTGCGTTGCGCCGTTGCGCCGTTGAGGTCGTTGTATTTCCGTCCTACTCTTTAAAATCGGGCAAGTATGGGATACCGGGTCAGGCTAAGAGATAGAGTTGAAAGGAATAGAGTATTTGAGATCGTCTAATATACTGAAATCTGCCTTTTTGAGCAGGGCTGTGGGGATCAAGTACTGAGTAGTTTAAAACTCGGGAAGATCTCATATGTGGATCGAACTGGATGAGGGGACGGAAGAGAAGGTAAGTGGCAGGGAGAGTGGAGATATATTTTTTCTCGTCTTAAACACTAGCTTCTGTGATGGAGTAGTGATATTATAATATTAATCTATTATCTATTATGTACTGGATTAACAGTCTGATTGGCCGACAGCGACGGGGATGGGTTTAGTAAGCACGAACTGCATAGCAACCGGCTCCCCAGCAAAAATTGGGAGCGGGCAATGACACTGGCATATATGTCGAACTCATTAACAGGGTGGGAATATTTGAGGTGGCGTTTACTGGAGCTGGCATTTACTGGAGCTGGCATCGACTGGAGCTGGCATCGACTAGAACTAGCATTGACTAGATATGGCATTTTAGCTAGCTAAGTACAGTGGAGGTGGCATGAGTCGAAATACCTCATGAACTGGATCACTACCACATTTGCAGGAGCTGGCTATGGTCAATGGGGTGGGAGCTGTCCATGAGATGGCCAAGGGCAAAGTTAATTAACTATTGGAGGTGGTCAACTACTGCACGGAGGTGGGAGAGATCCCCAGGTGGGAGGAGACCTTGCGGTCGCGAGGTGGGCCACTACTACTAGTAGTCTATTAGAGCGTTTTAGCTGCGCCAGTTGAACAGAAAGTCGAGCACTTGGACAGAAAGTCCTGCACCTCTTATTGGCTGAATCCTTGCAAGACTTTGCCTAAAATAGTTAGAATTTCTGTTCAACCTGTCCGACTTTCTGTTCAACTGGCACAGCTAAAACGCTCTATTATCTATTATGTACCGGATTAACGATTTTCTGAACGCTTGCGCATATGATTGGTCGAGATCGAGGAACCCTAACCCACATAGCAACCAGCTGGCAATAAGTGACTATGAGAGCGGCTACTAGTATGACCAACGGTGGGAAGCGCTGGCCATGGGAAACTACTGTAGATGGCTAAGGGAAGCATTAATAAAACTACTGGAGCTGGCCAACCACTATGGGTGAGCAAGTACTGGAGGTGGGAAATACTGCAATGCGGTGGGAGGGGCCTCGCGGTCGCGAGGTGGGCTACTACTAGTCATTGTGTACGAGATGCATACTGCTGAGGTGGAGTTGGACTGAATTGCGTCTGGAAATATGTAACTGTACCAAAGGAATATTAGGTACATGTATCTTAATATTAATGCGAACTTTCCCTAGACCAAAATTTGGTGAATCTCCACTAGCTGACTAATTATGCGAGTGATATTACATGACTTTAGAGACGCTACATGTACTCGCATATCAAGTATGTATTTGCGCAACCAGCAAAACACACAGAATCTTGAGAGCTTTCCCATCTCCCCTGAAATTATGCAACTTTTATCTAGACACCTGAAAGACTCTACAGGCAACTTTTAGGTCATATCCATAAAGAACGAGGCGAAGGGTGTCTTAAAAGTCCTTTTATTGCTTTCCTCTCCACCTTTACCAGCATCTCAATTAGGCCAAGAATTTGAAGCATGAATCTCCCTTATCGAAATTATACTATACTCGGTCGTTGCAGTTTTGGTATAACTACTAGTATGGGACTTTTTATGAGTTGTTGAAAACCTCGATTTTTGGTGTGTTTTGCTGGTTGGGCAAATACATATTTGACAAGCGAGTACAGTCGTTTCTGGGTGAATAGCGAACTCGGTTCGATGGCGAATGGGCCAATCGAAGTCAACAAAAGCCAACAAAAGTGTGCCGGCCCCTTTGCCTTGACTGATTATCAGCTCGAAAAGTCGCCATTCGTCATCGAGCCGGGTTCGCCGTTGACCTAAAAACGACTGTACTTCATACTTACAGATTCCGGTAGCGTTATTGCGAGAGTGAGTTTTCCGATACCTACATGTAATAGTTCTATTGGTCCTTGAAGTTGTTTTTTTGCTACCAGAACTAATAAACCCACTCTTTTAGTTTTCGCTTTCTCTGTAGCCGTATATATCCTCTTAGTTCTCTTGGGTCGACAGACACCCTCCCGGTCTTCCATTTGAGATATGCGGGGGGCTACTGGTGGAGCCGCTTCATGTCTGATAACTATCCCAAAGGAGACCACATGCTATAGGCAATCAATGACTGTAATACTGCGTGATTACATGCATCTGGAAACAAGTGAATAAGGACCCGGAGGACACTCTAGCATAGCCTACATCTGTGCATCCGGCCTTGTGGACTACAGCGGCAATGCACAGGGGGGCCGGAAATAACTACATGTACATGTAGGGATAGAAGAATTTAAGGCTCAGATACAAAACTGGCGCATTGAGCACTGTATAATTGATTACTGTATAAAAGTTTGTGTCGTTTTCGTTGACATGTTCTCGACTCATATATACTAATATCAGCAGAAATATTGAAATTGGAGGCATTTAACATATATAAAGTTAAGAATCATAGCCCCCCAAAATAATAAATAAGTTAGAATAAAACCAACCATAAAAATACAGACAGCTAAGGAAAATAGTGCCAAGAACGAAAGAAATACCTTGTCATGAGCGGAAATAACAGCTTCAGAGTATAAAAAGTATAAGAGCTAAGTGTTTCAATCAATAACAAATAAAGCTCAATAGCGTTGCCAAAACTCTCCGAACGCCACTAATAATACGAAGATGAAAGCCAAATTGAACCCTGATATCTAACTGTACCTAATAGCTGTGCCAAATAACTTGTGTAGTTTCTTCCCACTAACCGTATATTCTCTGATGCAAGATAGAAACATCTTTCCACGCTCCCCACTATCTTCTTCATCAGAATCGGAATCACCTTCACTGTCGATGGTGTCGAGATCAGAGCTCGGTTCTTTACTATGTCTCTTAACGGGCCTCCCGAGCCTATCTGTTTCGCGCTTCTTTTTAGGGCCGTCGTCATTATTCCGCTTTCTTTTCAATGGCTGGGCCTCTTTGAGCATCTTTCTACTCTTGCGTTCTTCAAGATCGCCCCAAACTAGAAAGAGTCTTTCTCTAAGGCATGAGAGGGCCATCTTATCCTTTCGGAGGCTGTTTCTCCGGTTAGCTTTCCGACCAGGTTTGAATGAAATCCTAGTGGGAACTTTACTCCACCGCGTCCAGACCGAGAAACCCCTCCGCATCTTTCCCTTCAACTATAACTCGTGCTTCCTGACCTTCTTTGTCTCGGAGTAGTAGCGCAAAGCGCCAAATCCAAGGATCGGTAGGGGATTTGTAATCATCGTTTGGATTGTTCACTTTAATTTCCTTAGAGAAATCCTCTAGCTTTTCCGGGGTGTAATCGACTACACGACAGAATACGTGGTAGTTTCTGTTGATACAAGGGGCACGGAGAATCTCCGATAACGGTGTTGGGATGGCGCTCTCTTGTCTTTCACAATCAACTGGATTTCGATGGTAGGGCTAAGTAAGTACCTTTTTAAATGCAGCAGGAACAGAGACCACATACTATATTGATTCCCTTTCTCTTGACGTTCTTTTCTCTCTGCTTCCACTTCGGCCTTTTTCTTCCTTAACGCAGCCATCCTGGCTTCCTGCTCCTGTTCGTGCTGGTTCTTATTGGCATTGAACCTCCTGGTGTACTCTTTTTTCCTCTGGATAATGTCCTTGACTCGCTGATCTCTCATGTCATCTATAAGATATAAACCTGGTCTCATCGTTTTTTCGCCATGTAAAACACCCTCTAGCCTTCCATCACCGTTTTTTTTCGCACGAACGTTTTTTAGACCCACATAAACACCGACAGCCTCCTGCAGAATTTGTCTCGCAGCTACTGCATGCTCATCCCAGAGTGTAATCTGCAAGGTATACTGACCCCATGGCCCTGGCCATTTTCCGTCGCCCCTCTTGGCTCGAGAGAAGTTACCCTCCTCATCCTCCTCACCAGCATTGTTTCCAGGCCATTCGTAAGAATGAACCATAGGATTCCTAGAATAGTCTGTGATGTAAAGAGTAAAGTTCTGGGTTGCCGAAAATGTTTTGACGACAAGGCCAATCAGGTCATAGAAGTTGTTAACTTGCATATCCCTGATTAAGGAAAATTTGAGACTTCCTTTCTTTATGCCTGGCGCTTGATTTTGGTAGGTGTTTCCTTGAGGTGCCATGACCTGATGATTGTTTAAGGGGGGCATTTGATAGTTTGTCTGAGGCATTGAGCCGCTGCCCACAGGTATGTTTTGGTAGTTTCCCATGTGTGCATTGCCCGTGGATGATGCACCACCAACTGAAGACCACCAGTTGCGGAGACCTTTCAACTGAGAGAGTTCCATTGGCTGTGGTCTCATAGACGCAGGAAATGTGACAGTTGAGGGGACTGTGTTCGAAATGGCGGGTAGATAGCTGATGATCCAAGTCGTCGTAAACGAAGTTATTCCAAAGATCTTGTCCTGGTACCGTTGGAGTTTCACTGATTTGATGAGAATAATATCACCATTTGAGCGGATCTGGGGGAGCTGATCCATAATCGGTTTGAAAGCACGTATAGACACACTAGACGCCTCGTCTGGGCAAGTTTGATCGCAGATCTTGAAAGTCACCATCCAATCTGGGTAGCACAGCAAACAAACGATGTAAGTAAATTTACATTTGGTTCTCATTTTATTTTTTCTTTGATTAATTAATAAAGTGAGAGAGTCGAGGTAAGCTGCTTGTTTGCACATGAGCTATCACGTACCTGAGCCTGCGGACATTTTTGGTGGACGAGTGTCCGCAACGACACCCAAAAGATTGACGGTGGCATCTACACGGTTTTCTACCTCTGATAAAGGAGTAAAACCAGGTAGTAAAGCTGGCATTCTAGACATTGTTGAATGAGAGTCTATCAGTTATTGTGTCGAGCTTTCCAGAGCTAACGTGATGTCGTGAGCGGGAAGACGCGTTTGCGCGTTGATTAGCTGATATAGTGGGGTTCAGGGTAACTGCTGGTTGCATCCTCATCCCACCTTGAGGACTTGGCAATGGAGGGACCGCAGAAACTTTTTCGAGGTTTTTGGAAGTCTGACGTTTGACGTTTGAGGTCTTTCGCCAATCATAACTTCCCCCTCCGCAATTACCTCAATTTACCTCCTGGTTCTCTCCTAGTAATCCCTGATTACTTCGGTGTAAACTGCCGCCATGAATTCGGGCCAGAAATGTTCTAGGCCGGTACTGGGGCTACTGTTACGGCGTATGTCTTTTCCCAGTCCAATGTAATGTCAATTACCTCGAATTGAAGATCATGTTCTCAAGACTTAAATGCAAATTTCCAGGAAGTCTCCTGAGCAACTCGTCAAAACCATGTGTCCTACGAACATACTCGACTGCTACTACGGCAACGTCTACCACCGCAGAGTCCGCGAGCGCTGGTTTCACTTACGACCTTGAGGCCCGTAAGGAAGCCGATGCTTCAGAATCATTTAGTGTTGCCTCGGCAGTTATCCTCAGTCGACCACCTATGCTCACTCGTGATCTCCCGGACTTCGAGTCATCATATTACTTCTACCAGCGCCGTCTCAACGACCGACTCCAGCTCCCATTCACTCGCTGGTTCTACTTCAAAAAAGGGACTTTGGCCGACCAGGAATGGAAAAGGAAGCAGGCGGCGGCCAATAAATACAATCCCTATGGACCGCGAGGATGGGCAGACGAGCTTCTGGTTGGGGACAATAGCCACATCAGCGAAGACAATGGCTACCAGTATCTGGTTGATACCACCGTAACAGGAGAGGAGGACACACTGAGGATGGCTGCCACAAGAGCCGAGGCCGCTAAGGAGGCAGAGGCAAAGGGAGAACCTTTTGAGCACCCGACGGAAATTGTCGCGAAGCCATTTCCAAGGATCTCGCAGGCGGATCTGGAGAATGATACAAAGAGCCTAAACAGGAAAATGAGCAGGACGCTATATCTGCTTGTTAAAAAGAACAGGGATAGCTTTGCATGGAGATTTCCACAGAGCGCGCTTGTTGGGGAAGAGAACCTACGAGAGGTATGAAATACCATTTCTAGTTTGGTTCCGTATTGAGAAGAAATCAACTAAAACAAGGTCCCCATAGGGCGCTGAACGTACCCTCAAAGAAGCTGCAGGTGGCAACATGCACACCTGGTTTGTTGGAAACGTCCCAATAGGACACCGCGCCTACAACTACCCTTGGGGTATCGTCGATGAGGGCAAAAAGGGCGGGAAGAAGGTCTTCTTCATGAAAGCGCGCATCCTTGCTGGTCAGGCAGATTTGACAGATAATAAACTCGGTCTGGACGATTTCAAATGGGTTACAAAAGAAGAGATTCAGCCACTGGTCTCAGGAAGGTACTGGAAAGCTCTAAAGGGTGTGTTGTCTGACAGGTAAAGGGAAGTAGTGGGCGGCGATGTGGGCGGAATTGTACATGATAAAATCTTCCCATTTCTTGTATCAAAGTATATATTCTTTTATTTTGCCATCCAGAGTGGTTCTCTGGGGAGTCACTTGTACTTGCATTCATCTCAAGGTTTTGTTGCGTCAATAGCCTTTTCTGTAGATTCACTTTGGATTAAGTAACTCCCTCTTCAACAAGAAATGCACCATATAATCATCTTACTCTCCGCCGGACTGCCTTCTAGAGATGCCGAGAGAGTAAAGGCAGTAATTTGTAGACATGCACACTCACCGATCCCTGTGACCATGATCCAGCCAAGCTAGCTCAGCCAACCACCAAAACAGGATTTTACGTATCGGGGTTGGATGTCTTAGTTTCGAGCTCGCTATCGTAGTGGGCAGGCTTTCGGGGGCTTTACATCCTTAACGAGGGAGATGGATATGGAATAATTGTACCAGCTTTTCCCCTTCATTCGGATTAGGGTCTACCCTAAAAAACTACTTGACAGGGCATGCACTACATTTTTGTTCCAGTAGTCTTAGGGGTCGGTGTTAATACAGCAGTGGACCAAGTCTCACTTTGATGTCAACACCTCACCGCCGATCGCGAGTGATAATACATGAACCATGCTAACTATAGCCACGAGGTCGAAGGGATTCGGTTTAGAATCTCGAATCCCCCATTGTCCATGGTCAATGGCAATGCTTTAATTTATCTAGTACATACACGTACACCCATTATTCAAAAACACCACCCAATTGCGCTGTTGAATAATTACTGGCCAGTTTAAAGCCTCCGGCCATTACTCACAATATCATGTAGGTACATGTACTGCGCATTTGACTACTCTAGGGATAGTAGCCGGTGGTTAGACTAAGGATAGCTCGCTATAAGAGAGGTTTGATTGAGCCGCCCACTAGGTTTTAACGCCCACTGCTCTATGGTCGGTAGGTTCACGATGTGGTAATGGCTGTAAGCCCATGATTAGGAATAGCAACAGAGCGGATAACAATACCCGGTGGGAGGAAAGTCTATCCAAGCCCCTACTATTAACACGATTCTCTACATCATGATATATTCGGCTAAGAATAGTAGTTTCTTAACGGCTGTATCCAAAGAAACCTTATAACAGATTGCAAAAAGAGGGGGGTATGAAAGCTAAAGACTTTTATTGCTTCTTACTTATATTACGAATGCGGGGCCGACCCGGGTGCCCTTACTGGACTGCGATGCTATGCTATGCTAGTTATACCTATTTACAATACAATCATTTCCCTCTGGTCCCTATACCGCAGCCGCCTCCACCTTTATCTCCTTCTTCTTCACAATAGGCTTCCCCGTACTCAGCCACTCCATATACTCCGCCTTCCCCGTAACATTCTTCAGCAGGCCGCCCTCGCCATCCTTCAGGCACGAGACCTCGTACATGTCCCATGCATCCTCCGTGTCCTGGTCGATCCAGTGCAGCCTCGTCCACTCCTCCTCCTCGGCAACACGGAGCGCCTTCATCGTATTGCTCAGCTGCGACGACGGGTCGTCCGAGTTCTTGACGGACAGATGCACCGCGCGGGCCTCCTGCGGTCTCTGCGGCGCCGATGCGTCGCGCGCGGCTTTTGACGCGGCGCGCTCGGCCTCGACGGCTGTGTCGACGTGGTGGAACTGCGGGCGGAGCTGTAGGGTCGATGTGATGGGCGTAAGATATAATTGGTCTAACACACGCACTGTCAGTCCCACCCCTCAATCACAGGCAGTTAGCACACCCACCATTCTTAAACACGCCCACCATATACTTTGTATTATCCGCCTGTATCCTACTCCCCAGCGTCTGTCTATCCAACACCCTCCCCCTCTTCAACGCCTCCGCAAAGTCCATCGCGCCAATATCCACCTCCTCCTCCGCGCCCTCTTCGTCCTCGTCCTCGTCCAACCTCCTCCTCTTATTCGCCCCACCCACGCCGGCGGCGGCCAGCGACGACTTCCCCCCCGCCTCCCTCCCGCCGGCCCTCTTTAGCACATCCCCCCACACCTTGCCCTTCTCCTCATCGTAGTTGACATGCACATTCACCGGCACATCCACCTCGACCAGGCCCGACCGCGGCTTGAAGCGCGCCTCGACGGGGCACGACGACTCGGCCTTGGTGTATGGCTTCTGCCGCGACCGCACGGGGTACTGGAACACGTAGAGGTCGGGCGCCACGGGGGATGTGATCTGGATGTTGTAGCTGCACACCACGGGGTCGTCGTCGTCCTCGCCGGCGTCTGCAGAGTCGGAGGAGCTGTCGCCGTCGTCGTCGGAGAGCGTGAACTGGGCGGGGGGCGCAGGTGCGGGTGCGGGTGCGGGTGGTGGTGGGAGGGGGAGCCCGGGGGCGATTTCGGTGCGGACGGGCGACTCGAGGGAGGAGTCATCGTCGGAGTCATCGTCGAGCGCGGAGGGGAGGAAGAGGGGAGTGTCGGAGGTGATTGCGGCGGTTGTGGAGGAGGCAGCGGCAGCGACGGGCTTGCGGGGTTTTTGCGGCATTGCGGTGGGTGTTTGTGGTGTAGATGTCTGTGTGCCTGTGAGAGCGACAGGGAAATGATCGCTGCAGAGATTATAGTCAGAGCGTGGGGGCCGAGTGATGACATGTGCTGCGGCAGACAGACGTGGTCCCAACAACCCTAGCCCACGCACGGGCCCACGCACTGTTTCTCTGCTCTCAACGTCCACCACCAACAACCCCATATGAACACCACCAGCAACCCCATATGAACACCACCAGCAACCCCATATGAACACCACCACCGCAACCGCCAGCGGAACAATGGCAAACGACCAACAGGCAGCGAAAAAGAGAAAGAGAAAGCATGGCGGAAGCAAGAAGGACAAGGACGCTGCCACAGAGACTTCCGTAGTGCTGCCCGTCGCGAATGGAGCGCCAGTAGCACCAAAAGACGACAAGCCACGAAAGAAGGCAAAGAAGGAAAAGAAAGAAAAGAAAGAAGCCACACCTCCCCCACCACCTCCCGCAGAAGAAGAGCCTGAAGACGACGCCGAAGCCGTAGAGGAGGCCGAAGCCGAAGCAGAGGCAGAAAAAGTAGAACTGGGCGAGGAGCCAGCGGAGAAAGACGACGAGGAAGATTCCAACCCCGACTCTGACGCCGAAGAGGAGTCGAAACACCCCGCCGACACCAAAGTAGATGATTCAGTGCCCCCCGAGCGCCCGCCAGCGCCCGCCGACCTCCCCGAGCACGCCGCCCTCTCCCTCCCCGACACCGGCGAGCACCCCACAAAGTTCAGCGACCTGCACCTCTCCCCGGGCACGCAAAAGGCGATCGAAAAGCTCGGCTTCACAACCATGACCGAGGTGCAAAGCCGCACCATCCCCCCGCTCATGGCCGGCCGCGACGTCCTCGGCGCTGCCAAGACCGGCTCGGGGAAGACGCTCGCGTTCCTCATCCCCGCCGTCGAGATGCTCACATCGCTAAAGTTCAAGCCGCGCTCCGGCACGGGGTGTCTGGTCATCACGCCGACGCGCGAGCTGGCGCTGCAGATCTTTGGCGTGGCGAAGGAGCTCATGGAGAACCATTCGCAGACGCTGGCGATCGTGATTGGCGGTGCGAATCGGTCGCAGGAGGCGGACAAGCTGTTTAAGGGCGTCAATCTGCTGATTGCGACGCCGGGGCGCCTGCTGGATCATCTCCAGAATACGCCGGGGTTCAATTACAAGAACCTCAAGGCGCTGGTGCTCGACGAGGCGGACCGCATTCTGGAGATGGGGTTCGAGGACGAGATGCGGCAGATCATCAAAATGATCCCGAATGAGGGGAGGCAGACGATGTTGTTCTCGGCGACGCAGACGACAAAGGTGGAGGATCTGGCGAGGATCTCGTTGAGGCCCGGACCGCTGTATATCAATGTCGACTACCACAAGGAGGCATCGACGGTCGAGGGCCTCGAGCAGGGCTATGTCGTGTGTGAGGCGGACAAGCGCTTCTTGCTGTTGTTCTCGTTTCTGAAGAGGTTCATGAAGAAGAAGATTATTGTCTTCTTCTCGTCGTGCGCCAGTGTCAAGTACTACGCGGAGCTACTGAACTATATTGATCTGCCGGTGCTGGACCTGCATGGGAAGCAGAAGCAGCAGAAGCGCACGAATACTTTCTTTGAGTTTAGGAATGCGAAGCAGGGGACGCTGATTTGTACGGATGTTGCGGCGAGAGGTTTGGATGTATGGTTCCCCCCCTTCCTTTGTGTCTTTCTATTTTCCTTCTACCCACTGCCCACTTTACTCGTTGCTATGAGGATTATCAAAAGCGGTGAATGTGATAAGACCTTGCAATGGTTAAAAAAAAAATAGCTAACAACTGAGCAACCCCTCCTCCCCTCATCTCCACTCCCCCCACCACCTCCCCCCAAAAGTACCAACACTAACCCCCACCCCCCACCCACAGATCCCCTCCGTCGACTGGATCGTTCAATTCGACCCCCCAGACGACCCACGCGACTACATCCACCGCGTCGGCCGCACAGCCCGTGGCGCAAACACAAAGGGCAAATCGCTCATGTTCCTGCAGCCCGCCGAGCTCGGCTTCCTCAAGTACCTCAAGGAGGCGCGTGTGCCCGTCGTCGAGTTTGAGTTCCCGAGCAAGAAGCTCGTCAATGTGCAGAGCCAGCTCGAGAAGCTCATCAGCAAGAATTATTATCTGAATAATAGCGCGAAGGATGGGTATAAGTACTACTCCTCCCTCCTCCCACCCCCCTCAACCTCTACCCCGCTGCTTGTTGTGTTGGGGGAATGGAGTGCTAATGGACGAATAAAGGAGCTATATCCAAGCCTACGCCTCGCACAGCCTGCGCACGGTCTTCGACGTCAACAAACTCGATCTGATGAAGGTTGCAAAGAGTTTCGGGTTCTCGTCGCCGCCGTCGGTCGATATCCAGCTGGGAGCCAGCCTGGGCAGGGACAAGAAGCCGCCGGGCGGAAGGAGGAACTATGGGCCCGGTTCACATGGTGGGGGCAAGTTTAGGGGCGGGAAGAGGAATGATAGGGGCGATCGGTAGAAGGAGGTGTGTGGGGAGGGGGGGGAGGGGGGAATTTGTATATTATGGAACTAGCTATGTAGATTGGGGGGGGGGGGTTAAAAAGTAATTGAAGCGTTTTTTTATATATATATGTTCATCTTGCTTGCTTGGGTATGGTGGTGTTTTGAATCGATGTGTGTGTGGTGCATGCAGTCTTTGAGGTGAAATGAAGCAAGAAAAGAGAATCTGTAAGGGCCATTATGAGAATAAGGCTTCAGTCATTATCTTAGTGCTCCAGCCGCTCATTGCCCTTGGAATATCCGAGGCATTGAGGGAATTCTGGCTCCTTCCCACCTCTTATCCCCACCGCGTTTCTGCACAAAGCTCTCTTGATTCGTGGGTTCTGTCTGAGGGAACAAGAGAGTTTCGTTGATGTCTCCCATGCCTTTTTATTTTATTTTTGTGGTTTTTGGAAGAATGCCATGGAAGTAAGTCCTCACCCCTCCCTAGATATAAGCACTTAATACTGCTGATTGCAGGGGATGGGTAGAAAGCGCAATAACTAACCGCCCGCCCCGAAATATCCATCATCTACAGCGTAAGTTGTGATATTTGATATCACCACATCAAAACCATAGACGTCAAGGTATGTGACTCATTTACCGTAATTTACAGGCCGTAGTCTTAGTCCTAGATGGGTCGCCATGGTTGGCAAAAGATACATGTAGCTACTCCCAACTATGAAGAATACCTTCATGAATCATCACTCGGCCAACGTGACCCCCGTAGTTTAGGCGCTCTGTGTCGTGTCCCGCCTACAAAAAAATACTAGACCACCCGTACCGCCCCCCCCGCCTCTGTATAGCTGTGGATTTGAGCTGGTCTGGTAACGCTTGTAGTCGCGCGGGCTCTCATGCGAGTGATAGCTCATGATTCTCGCAAGCGGAAGCGGAGTAGTGCTAATCGAGGAGTCGGACCAATTAGGCGGTCTCCCACTCTAGTAGGTGGTTATAGCGCTGCAACGTCGCCTCAAGGACCAAGTCTCACATAGAATTGAAGTCTACCGTTATGATGTGGATCGTGCTGGGGCAGTTGGTTGTGGTGTGTGTCGATCTCTTGAAGCTAAATACTAGCTGGCCAACCTCTGTGACCTGACTGCCACGTTTCTATAGTATTATGTTTTTCCGTACGTATAAAACATCTCAAGACATCTCGGCCCACATACAGCGGCACACTCGCCCCCCTAGTTACAGGTACATGTATCATTGGCGGATACATACGCAACCAGCTGTCTTTCACAAATCCTAGCAAGATCACAGGAAAAAGGGTTAAGGGTGAGTGTATATACGACAGAATGGTATATATGAAATAAGAGAATACTGTACAGGAAATCAAAGCATGCTTTTGGTCTATCTACACGTCTAAAACATACCATTACTCAAAGCTCCACAACGCCAACAGCGGATTCTCCTCTACCGACACCTCGCCCTGTGGCTGCTGCTCTTCGCCTTCAGCTACAGCCGGCTTGAAGAATATCTTTTTCGGAATATCAAACTCCACCACGGGTGGCTTCTTGATGCTCTTATTAACCTCGGCAGCAAACATCTATCCCCCAATTCGTTAGCTCTCATCACCATCCAAACCCAAAGAAAGGAAAGGAAAAGAGGCAACTTACACTAGCATAACTATGGTCCAAAAAGTCCTCCAGAATATACTTCTCCTTCGTAAACTGCTCGCCAATGATCCTCGCCAGCGTCCCCACATTCGGATGCCAATGCGCCATCAGCATCTCAATCTCCCACAAACTACTCTCAATCGCCCCCGTCTTCATCGGGTCCTCCTCCCTCTCCTCAAACACATCCGTCAACCCCTCCTTCCTCCACCCCTCCCTCTCCTCGGCGCTCCCCTCGCGGTGCACCATGAACGTGCAGCTCGGATGGCGCTTCAGCAGGTTATACACAAACGGCACGACAATAACCACGGCCGCCGGCGGCGCACTCAACGCTAGCCTCGCCATCCTCTTCACGAAGCTTGCCACCATCGCCGCCGGCAGATGCGTCGACTCCAAAAACGTATCCAGCAGGCGGAAGAAGCGGGACCTGTATCTCACATGGAAGACATCGCGCGTCAGTAGTGCATACAGCTTCGTGTAGAAGTTCGGGTAGTCGAGGTTCTTTGTCTGGATGAGGTAGAAGAGGCCGTTCAGCGCCAGCAGCGAGACGGACCCGCCGGCGTCGTAGGCGTCAACGAGAAAGTCCATGAGCAGCTGCGGGCGGGTGAAGCACGGCACGATGCGGATGGACATGACGGCGAGGATGGTCTTGATCTGGTCCTTTGTGAGCAGGAGGCGGAGCGTTGCGAGCCATGTTTCTTGCAGGAGCTTGCGATGCGTGGGTTTTGCGTGGATGGGTGGCTGCTTTTGCATGCTGGGGGCGGGGGCGGTGGTGTATGTACTTCCGAGGAGCGGGGCGTCGGCGGTGGGTACATTCTCGAGAGTAAGCAGGAGGGCGAGGACATTAGCT